CAGGCAAGAGCTCTGACACTGAGCTATGTCCCAGCCCCTAGCATTTTAAGTTGTGCATCTCAAAATAACGGATAATTTCCAGGGTTAAGGAAAACTATGGTATTATGATACCACAATATTGACTTTGGCGGTGAAAATGTTCTAAAATTTATTTCCACCTCTCCTTCTTTTCAAAATAAGCCCCTCAGAAGGGAAGATCTGTTTTTTCCCCCTCCCCCTCACTTGTGAATTCCTCTAATTGAACTTCCCCCAAGGAAAACTACTATCCTGGGCGCACAGTGTACCATGTGCACTATGGAAACCAGGCGCTGCTTCTGTACCCGTCCTCTGGCTGTGTCCTGTGAGAGTTGGCCATCTCTAAACAAAACTTCAATAAAATGTGAAACTTCCAGTGCACATTATTCAAAACAATTAGTCAGCATGCTGTAACTAAACAACTGGCCTAGTAGACTAAACTGAAGTGAAGATTTCTCTCAGAGATAAGCAGCATCGGGTCTCGGCCTGCAGTCTAAACCCCTGAATCCAGGTAAAGAAACATGGAGCTCGAACTTCCATGCGGCTGCTGTGGAAGGAAAGAGGAGCAAGCACTACAGATAGAGAGCCAGGGAGTGCAGAGCAGCAGGCGGCTGGTGCTTCGAAGTTCACATCCAAAATGTTTCCTGGAATAGAGTTTGTTTCCATTATCAGTCAGTGAGCTCACAGAAGACATGCCTGTGGGAGCAGAACTCTGTAACCTTCGCAATGTTGCTGGTTTTTGTAAGTGGCTATTTCTTTACATTTGTGAGTTATAATTGGTGGAAGTCAAAGTCCTTTCCACTGATTATTATTTGATATCTAGAAGGTACCCCTGCCTGTAAGTGAGTTTGAGGGAAAGTTGCTCATAAGAAGACAAGCTGTAAGTAAGGCTACTTTCTTGAGACTAGTGTAAGAAAAAGAACAGCTGAAGGTTACGGCACACACAAAATTTAGGCATATTTGAAAATATTTGCGTCCCAGTGGGATACCACTTTTGGTATGCTTATCACAAATGAGAAACACATACATACAGACACAGGAACTGCTGAAAATATTCAGTAAATTTTAAATTAAAAACATATCAGAGGGCTGGGGAGCTAGGTCCGCGGTCTAAGTGCCTGCCCAGGCAAGCACAAGGACCGGGCTCCATCCCCAGGACCTGCTGCTGGGCCAGCCCCAGAAGCCCGGGGAGCACAGGGCCAGCCTCGGTGTGGTGGTGCAGGCCTGTAATCCCAGTGCTGGGGAGTCAGAAATAGGAGGATCCCTATGAGTCCGAGCTGTGTAGTGAGACCCTGTACCAAATAAGTAAAGATTAAAAATGTGTTGCCCGAAGGACACGCTGCTGCTCGTCCCCCTGAAGTCCTCCGCGTGCCCTCAGACACACCGGCCCAGCCTCCCGGCCGCGTCCTGCAGCAGCGCCCACGTCCTCCTCCCCGAGCATCTGGAGTCGTGCTGTCCTGGCTGCCTCGAGTCCAGAACTGATTCAAGGCCTGAGCTCTCGCGGTCGTGCTGACTTTCAGCCAGGCGTCGCAGTGGCCAGATCCAGTGACTGCGGGGAGGGGCACAGCGCCCTGTCCGAGCGCGCTGCCTTTCCCTGGCACGGCAGGCAGCCCCGGCATTCACTATGTTTTTTCTTTTAACCACATAAAGTCTCAAAGATTCTCCCGAAAGAGGGCTCCTCCAGACCTGCTTCAGAGAGCGGCCGGAACAGCACGCTGAGCGTGTCTGAAGCTGCGGGGAGCATTTCGGAGGATCAGTGGCAATGTGTCTCTTACTGTAAGCAACTTTTGAGCTCCAACCCTGGCCGTATGTTCTCATCATACCTCTTGAGTGCATGACTTGGTGAAGGGGGCTGTGGTGATTTGCAGTATTCGGTTGTTTCATCTTTAATAAAAGCCCGTGCACTTGCCCTGCGAGTTCCTTGTTTATAATCTATTTGTGAGGGGGAAGAGAGCACACATTGTAGCTATTTCCCCAGAGCTGCCTACTCGCGATTTTTTCCCTCTGTGTAAATCCTACGTAACAGGGCCCCTGGCCTGCCAGCTGTCTCTCTGGTTGGTAACGAAGGACTTCTGCAGTAGTCTTTGAAGTCATTATGCAAAAAGAGCACTCCTGATCCTGTTAGGGGAATTCTTGTCCCTCCATCCTCCTGGAAAAGCTGTGTGGGTCAGGAGTTCACCCCTGCGTCATGGTCCCTGCGCTGACAATGCAGGGGGAGGGCTCGGCCGGACGCTCGCAGTTTCCTCCCTGCGGCTCGCTCGGATCGTGAGCACTCCTTCAGTACAACCGCCCACTGCGTCCGGGTCCACGGGGCTCACTTTAAGCAGCTCTCTGTCGCTGACCAGCCTTTATGAATCAGTGGCCCCAGGGACCTTGCGTAGATGTCGGCTTGGGTATCCGGTCCGCCCTTGGATCGGGAGCCAAGTTGGGATGACGAAGGGAGTTTAATCTGCTCGTGCCTGTTCCTTCCCAGACACTGAGACCTGTGACTACGGCTGGCACAAATTCCAGGGGCACTGCTACAAATACTTCGCCCACCGCCGCACGTGGGACGCTGCCGAGCGGGAATGTCGCCTGCAGGGCGCCCATCTCACCAGCATCCTGTCGCACGAAGAGCAGATGTTTGTGAATCGTACGTACCAGGCAGACCTGAGTGTCCCTGCCCGTCGCCTGCTCTCCCCACTTCCCCAGCTCTCAGAGCCCACAGAAGAGCAGTGGCTTTCTCGGTCCTCATTCAGTGGATTAAACCCCCCATCTGTGAACTAGTTCAAGCCAGTATGACTTCTAGATGGTACTCTCTGCTCACTTAACTTAGAAAAGTGGCTATTCTTTCTTTCTTTCTTTCTTTCTTTCTTTCTTTCTTTCTTTCTTTCGTACAGGGTCTCACTACGCAGCTTGGACTCGTGGTGATTCTCCTGTTTCCAGCCTCCCCAGCTCTGGGATTACAGGTGTGCACCACCACACCTGGCCTCCACTGGCAGCTCAGCATGTCCCAGGGATGGGGCCGCATGGCATGCAGGACCCAGGTTCAAACTGCTGGTCCCTGTGCTTGCCAAAGCAGGCACTTAGCCCGCTGAGCTATCTCATTGGCCCTAGAAAAGTGACTATTTCTTATAGCTTAATAAAATTCCTACCATGGTAACCTTCATGGTCTCTGTTTTGAATATTTGTAGGTGTTGGCTAGAATTAAAGATAAAATTCAGGAGGAAGTTATTTTTGTCTGGCTAAATAAAATCGCCTGTGAATAGTACCCTAATCTTACCTCTTGGTTCTCATCCAAGTTTCTATTTTAGACAATAGAAAGTGAGTTACACTGGAGGCACAGGAATAGACAGAGATAAAAGCTTGTGGGATTGGCGAGCAGAGCTGTTTAGTGACTTCTCACATTCAGCGAAGTCCAGGACTGTGAGTTTTTGCACAGCCAGTTTACAGAACCATTCTCCTTGGAAGCACTGTTCGGTGCTCTGTGAAGCGTGTTCCCACAGTGCTGCCTAGCTTTTTGAAGCTTATTAATTCACAAAATTAATGGTCTGAGCTTTTTGCCAGCGACTCTTCAAAAGATAGAAACATTTTTGAGCACAGTTTTCGAAAATTTCTGGCCTAGGTGTTTACTGTTTAAAATAGTTCAAGAAGAAGCTTTGTTTCTGAGGTGATTGCGAGATGGGTAGTTCCTGATGTCTGATGCATTTTGTTGCATCACTGAATCTTTGCCAGTGGCACAGATTAACAGGAACAAAATAAGTACATGGAAAAATTCAGTCATGAGTGACCATGGGAAATAGTCAATGACAGTAAACAGCTAGGGAAATTCTTGTCTGTGCCTGATGTTTTGCTGTGCTACAGTGTTCAAAAAAGTTACCTTTGGGGGCTGGTGAGATGGCTCAGTGGTCTAAAGCACCTACTTAGAACAAGCTAAGCAAAAAATGCAGCGACCGCGGTTCAATCCCCCAGCACCACATGCCAGCCAGCCCCGCCCCCTGGTGGGCTGAGCTGGCCACACACACACACACACACACACACACACACACGATAAATAAATAAATAAATTTAAAAAAAAGTTACCTTTGTAGTTCAAAGCACACTGAGCAGAAGCACAGAAGGTAGACTGGGATAATTTTTTGTTAAAGAGCAACTAAATAAAAATCCAGCAAGAAGAGATGCATGGTTCACTCTGAAAATACTTTCCTTTAATATATTTTCACTGCTATGTAGGAAAGGCAGGAATCAGCTACATTGTTTTCCCTCATCTCTTAGGTGTGGGCCATGATTATCAATGGATCGGACTGAATGACAAGATGTTTGAGCATGACTTCCGCTGGACGGACGGCAGCACCCTGGTAAGATGCTGGTGGACAGCAAGCAGCTCTAGGGTCTCCATGCTGCCTGTTCCCTGCCTTGACGGAGGGCACACAGGACTGGAAACAACTCATGACTGGCTGAAGCTCTCTCCTGGGAATAGGGCAGGGCTAGAAGAATAGACCAAAGGAACTGATTTAACCACTAATGTCCTCTCTTCTAGCTGCTGGCCTCTTCAAAAGAGGAGTAGCAAACTTCTATTGAAGAGAAAAACTAGATAAGAAGAACTGTCTTGTGTTTGTCTTTCAGACAGTTGTCTTTGCTTTTTAGAGCTTTGAAACACAATGGAAAAGAATACATGGAAAGAAAAATACCTTTGGGTCACCTGTAGTTGGGTCTTAGAGTCATAGGTGAAATTGCTTTGAATTACTTCTAGTAAACGAGAATGGTCTCACACTTGAGAGATCATCCAGGCATGACTGGCTCCCTGCAGACCCTGTGCTAGCTGTCCCCTAGAAAGACCGGAGAGACTAATTCAAAATGCTTCTCACATTTATTATGGCAGAACTTCCAGCAGCTGAATTTCCTGAGTGTCTCCAGGTGATTGTAATGCAGATGACCGTAGGAGCCACAGAATTGGGCGAGATGGCAAAGTGTAAATTACTTCTAAATTGGATGGACATGTCAAGATCAAACATTTTTAAGTTATCTCTGTGTGTGCATTATTTAGGCCACTACATCCATTGTCTCCCACTCGTCAGGATTTAATTAGCCTGGTGAATGCCAGTGTTCATCCTGGAGCAGAAGGCGAAGTAGTCTCTGCCTCTGGAAGTTGTGCTCCACTTAGGGAGGCTTCAGTGAGTAGATGTCTGGGGCCCACTGAATTCACTGGTGGCACCTGCTTTGCAGGAGAAGGAAGGCCAGTTAGCGTGAGCTGTGTGCAGGGTCGCAGAGCTGCCAACTGGTGGAGCCAGCCTCTGAGCCCCGGCTCAGCTGCACCGCGGTGGGGCTGTCTTCCTGGTTCCTCTCCATCTTTGGACTCAGAATCTCTTACTCCTCTTTTGATTTGAACAACTGAAGATCTTTTACTAGAGTTTGTCTGTTACTGGATGTCACCTGTCACTGCCGGCTTGCGCTGTCATTCCTCTCTCTTTGTTTGGCGCTTCTTGTCATTCAGATTTTGAAATTTCTCAGAAAGATTGGGAAAGTGGGAAAACTGTATTATCTATAACATACGTTTCTGGTAGGGTAAGGTGACTATAGCCTCTATAGCCTCAGGATTGATATCCTCTTCTCTCTAATTGTCCCTGCTAGAAGGTGTATCAGCAGTTCTTGCACCTGTGTATTTTCATTTTGCTTTAGCCAAGGCTCCCAACTCTGGTATGCCCAAGACTTCAGTGGCCTTGCTGCATGGCCTCGCGGATCTGGGTGCTTGGCTCCAAGTGCCCTATTGGCTGGATTTCTGTTTGCTGCAGCCCAGGACTAGTGCAGCTGCATCCGGCCAGTCAGAGGGCATGACCAGCCCAAGCCTAAGCCAGGCCTAAGCCAAGTTCCATTCTGTTTCTTTTTTTTTTTTTTTTTTTTTTTTTTTCCTATAATTTTATTGATAAACAAATAGCAATGAGACAGTTTCAAATCAAATTGGTAGGACAGTTTCAATAATTCACACATTGCATACATTCTTCCTAGTGGTTAATTGCTGTACAAGATGCAGACATGATATCCTATTTACAGACACCATTAGAACAAATCCCTCTGTTCATTAAGAGAATGTAACTATATATCTATCCTAACCACTTTGAATACACAGATACAAAATGGACATTCATCTGTATGCCCTTTTTTTGTTAAGTTCCGTTATTTGAATATTATAGGTGTGTAAACTCAGTAAAATATTCTAAAAGAGTCCAGTAGCCCATAATAGTATTGGGTCTTCCGCTTCACTAGCAATGTCAGAAATTGTTGACCTGAGTCCCCTACAGCTCAACATAACAGCATGGCTTTACTTCTTATATTTCGTTTTTATACTTTTCTGCTGGATGGTTAAGACCAAGGTAAAGCAGGACCTCTGCAACAAGAGTTGTAGCTTTTGGGTCTGATAAGGTCAGTAAAATCCCCTCAGGATTGATCCTGAGATCTTGTACCTCAGATTGTAGAACCTTTGTCAGTGTCAGCCATGTGGATGAGTCACGGCCATTGCTTGGCCAATGTGCTCTCTGTGAAAGCCTGAATGTTTTCTCTCCACATGACTCTCCTTAGGCACACTCTACATCATCGATCACTTTTCTCTTTGGCCCCATAATCTCCTTGATCAGAAAATTTGGGACACTACTGAGTTACATGACGTTACAGTACAGGTTCTCATATGTCCTGAGTCTTAATTGACCTTAGAAGGCTAGGGCCAAAATGTTGGCTTTCTTTGCAGCCCTCCTTTTTCTCTAATTTTGGTCTGCAAACTTAGGTTGTTAACCATCAGAAGACAAGCTTATTGTTATTACCATACAACTTAGGCTGTTAAGCTTAACCTCACTATCTGTCTGAATATCAACATCTTAGGCATAATATGGAACAGGTATTTTTCACCAAGTATTGATATGTTGAACTTTAAGTCCCTACAGAATATGATAAAAACCATTAAAAAATTAGAATATATTTTAAAAATAGGCATAAAGAATTATATACTTCTTATGTTTACACATAAGTCCAAAAATCTCACCATATACAACCTTGAAGCAGGACAGTCCCACAATATTCCTTTTCCTGTCTCTTGCTTTCATTCACCACCCCCTTCTTCTTGAACAGTCATCTACCCGAGGGACATCGTAGCAGCAACTGGCATGTCATGACAAGCAGCCCATATTCAGAAGACCAGAATGACAGGCACTCCAAGCATGAAACTACTATTACAAATTATCATCTGCAATGCAGTAGCTTAGTTCACAGGTACCAGTACATATAGTTAGTCATCCATTCTGTTTATTGTCTCTTGCTAGTTCTCTAGAATTGGTTTGTATGCTTTCATTCTTAACACGTGTGTGTCACTCGATGTTTATTCTGACCTCTGCATTGGCAGATGGCCTCTTCAGCGAGGATTCTTTTCCCTGACTCCCGTGTCTCACAGTGCCTAAGATAAAGCGCTTTCCCTCGCCTCTGCGAGCTCGGTTAAGGAGACTGAGTACTGGCTTCCTACTGGTACCCTGGAGGGTGTCTATACATTATCTCAGGGAAGTTGTCTTCTCTGCCAGGTCCATGCAGGTGAACTTGACCCAACGGTTGTAAGATTACCTTGTGAAAGGTCGGCAGCTCAACTGTCTTGGGCCTGTGTTTTTAACATAGGCACACAAATATTGCAAAAACAATAGTTTCGTTAACATTTCCAGAATCTGAGCTGAGTCTAAATTTGATAAGTCAGCGAGCATGAGCTTTGCACTTTGTCTCAGGAGAAATCCTGATCCTCCCGTGAAGTTTGCAGCAGGAGCTGAGATAGTGTGATGCAGGTGACCGTGCTCTTAACTGGTGCACGCATTCGACGGAGCCGCAGGATTGCACGTTCACCTAGTGAGGAGGACTTTCGTATGAGGAAGGCCGCAGGGCAGACGCAGAGGGTAGCGGAGGCCTAGGAAGGGGCGAGTGTGTCCAGGGAAGCCGCACAGCCTCCAGCTGCTGCTTCAGTCATGCTTTGTGCAGGGTAAGTATGCCGAGGAGTGTCCCTGACTGGGGCCATCTGGGAACAGGAGGGACCATCTGCCTCCCAGCCGGTGGCCCTCCCGGCTGGCTGGTCTCCGGCCCACTCTCCCACCTTTGAGGCCAGCCTTTCCTCTGTCCTGTCCTTGCCTTTCCTCTGGCCTAGGTGTCTCTGAAATGCGTTTGTAGTTTGTCCTCCAGCCCCGTTCCTTAACCGGTTCCAGATGTCCGCCAGTCTTGAATAAAATAGCTCTCCTTTGTTTTGCTGTTTACGGAGCTTCGTGCTTTTGGGAATAGTCTTTGGTTAAGTCTCCATTGGGGCAAGAAGGCTCTGCTTGTGCTTGGAAATGGTGTTAACTTACTGTGTGCAATTTTAAAGATTTTGTTTATGTTTTAGGATGATTTCTTTCCTCTTCCATATCCTCTTTCTCCTCTCTTTTGTTTGTTTGTTTGAAAGATTTATTAGAATTTATCCATGTTGGGAAGTAGAATAGTATTAAAACAAAAGGAACTTTTTGTGTTTACCTTATATTTTCATTTAATACTCAGTCTTACAGTTCAAGAAAAACAAACAAGTTTATGTTAGGTCTCCATTTGAATGCTTTCTTTTATTGAAATAATTAAACATTAGTTCTTATTGGAAGCTTATTGGCTTTCAATATAATTATGTCATATTTAACATGATTATGTCTTGTGTCTGGATTAATTCCACTCATATGTTTATGCTAAGTTAGTGATGCTGTTTAGCGAAGCCATCTAAATTGCCTTGTTCTTTAGATTGTTCTTGATTCATTCCACATTATTGGCCTTTACAATTGGATGTAATTGATGAAATGCCAAATTCCTGTTTCTGTTATATCTTGAAAATCTCCTTCACTGTTGGTTTGGGATGTTTGCCCAATGAGTTTTACAAAAGTGCACTCATGGATCAAATCGTGTTGAGCCTCACCCTTGTGTGTTGGCTTTAGGTTGGCCTCCCTTAACACACTTGAGTTTTTGCTGTGGCCAGTTTCCTCCCAGTGGGTTACTCTTTAACTGGACTATTGGTATGGAACAGCAGGGCACACCTAAAGCTTGAGGAGGCACCACACACTTCACTTGAGATTGCTTCGTTGACAGCAAGTTATGTCTTCAAAGAGACTGTTAAACTGTTCAAGTTTGACACATTGAAGCTGGAGGACTCCGGCAAGCTTTTCTTATCTGGTGTCTGCCCTGTTAGCTGGCTTTCCAGTTGCTCTGGATCGGTTGCTGAATGAGCAGCTTGTCCAGGGTTTTTTCTCCCCACTCTGACTGCTGAGCCAGTACCTGCACCTCCCAGGGATGTGAATGCTTGTGGCCTGCTGCTTAAAATTCTCCA